CCCCGCGTCCCGTCCACTGGCTGCTCTTCCCACTGATTCTCTCTCATCCTTTCCTCTCCCAGGCATGTTTTGTGCAGAGACCCCCACACGGGAAATCGCAGGGTCCCTGGCAGGACGCGCCCCAGGGGAGCTGGTCTCTGCTGGGGGCGAGCCCTGAGCTGGGGGCTCTGACCAGTGCTGCCCGGCTGCTCCCCGCAAGGGAAAACTTCTCCCGCAGCCCCGCGACTGCTCGGATTTACTGTGTGGCTGCGGGGAAGCTGGAGGGAGGTTTGGTGTGAATGAGCCGGCTTCCTCCTCTAGCCTGAAATGTGGGTCACGCCAGCCAGCACAGCAGAGCTGAGAGATGCAGTTCATCCGCGGTTCAAGCCCGAGCAAGCTCCGAGTGCCACAGTGCAACTGGTGCTGGTTCAGAGGGTCCGTCTGAGCCGCGGATTCATTAGCGGATCTGCACGTGGAAGGAGGCGAGAGGGGTTTTTCCCCTCCCCATCAGCTCCCACATTGCCAGTGTTCCTCTCTGGCCCGCTGCTAATTTTGCTGCTGCCCTAAATAGAAGCTGAGTGCATCTCATCTGCTTCGCTTAGCATACAGGAAAATTGTTTTCTTTCATTTACTGAATCCAACTTGTGGCTTTAACCCTGTCAGCTCTCCCTGTGCTCTGCCGGGGTGTGCTGCTCCCCAGGAGGGATCCCCTGCCCAGACTGGTCTTCCCCAGCTCCGTGCTGGAATGTAGCTCAGCACAGGCAGACCCAGTTGTAGCGTTTTTTTGGTTGTTTTCTGCTGTGATATTTTTTCCAGCATCTGGGGGGAGCAGCTCAGCACACAGGGACCCTTCCTGAGCCCGGCGGGTGCCTCTCTCCCTGCTCTCTGATTCATATCCTGCTCCAAGTGGCTCCTCAGAAAGATCTGCTGCAGCGGCCGCAGGGCTCTGGGTTTGCTGTCCCAGCACGGGTCCTGCAGCCCGGCTCTGCCCTGGAACTGGACAGGACACAGCGCTTCCGAAAGGCTGCAAAACCCTTCCGCAGTGCAGCTGAAATATAGCCCTGCCTGTGCAAGGTGCTCATTTGGGGCTCTCGGGCAGGAACTGTCTTCCTGAAAAACTGTGATTCTGTGGCGTTGGCAGCTCGGTGACTGTTATAAGCAGCGGTGAGCTGAGGAGCCGGGAGCACGGGAGGGAAGCACGGGGCAGTGGCCCCCAAAGGTTAAATGCAGCTGGGTGAAAAGGACGGCTGAGCGCTGGCGTGCCTGACCTCCAGCTGAGCCTCACTGGGCACAAACCCACGCTCCAGCCAGGGCAACCGCGAGGTTCCCCCTCGTCCCTTGCGCTCCCGACCGTGGTCCCTCTCCGAGCCCACCCCTTCGCCAGCCCACAGGCTCCTGTTCCCTGTGGAGCAGCACCGGGGTGAATGCTGTCCCCGTTCCTCCCTTCTTTCCCTCTGGCTTGTTCGGAGCACCCAGCGGCTGCTCTGTGCAAGGCTCATCCTGGATCATTGCCGAGCCAGGAGGGCAGAGGGACGGAGCAGCGGTGACCCTGGCAGGCTGCGGGGCTTGGCAAGGCGCGGGCG